AGCCGCACTGACCCGCCCCGACAGTCCGTAATGATGAGGAAAATAGGCTAATTCGTCAACGCAGATGCTGTGCCGATTTCGCTGCTCAAAGCTGTGAAATCAAGGATCATGACCAGGATGGGTGAAATGGCGGTGTCAGAACGACTCCCTTACCAGAGGTTCTGGGTGCGGCCTTTCCCACAGTCGACCTACCTACCTGCCTACAGTGTTGCCAACTTCTTGCAAAACCATGCAATCGAAGGATAGTGGTTAACGTCTCCAACCGACTACCGGAAATCGTACCTGGTTGCTTTCCCAGTAAAGAAGCGTTAAGCACCATCCCTCAAGCTATGCATCCAACGATGGAGTAGACTGTGTGAAATAAAACAGGTTTCTCTGGAATGAGTCTACTACTTCTTCTTCTACAGCGTTGGATGGCGGGGTTCGCTCTTTTGATATAACTACGCCACTTTTCCTCCCGGTTGATGCCTTTTTCCGAAAAGAGTAACAGCTACATTTTGCACACGCCTTCTGAACCTGAGGGAATCGCTGACTGGACAGCACCTGGTGCGACCTGCTCAGTAGTGCTTGCAAGAATCGAGAAGAACCAACAATTTACAATTCATTGCTACTAGTAAGACCCCAATCCCACTTGTTATTAACGATCATGCATTTGTCGCTTTTGCGTCAATACTGAGGCGGAACAAACTAGCAAAACAATATTTGTACGAGACTTTGGAACTGCAAATTTCAATTCAGTTAACGAATATCTTTGTACCATCGACTGGTATAGATCCTTTCAAGGCGTTGACACAGTTTATGAAAAATATGGGTTGTTTTTAGACCTTATTCATTATACCACAGGACTGTACTCAAGCCTCAAAGGACCGGGGTGCAGCTCCCACTGCACTTGATCTAATCTAACTGCAAAAGTAATTCGGCTTCGGCTAAGGCCGTGTCGAGTAATAGTCATGCTGATGCAACAAGTTAAGAACTACTTTTAAGACAAGGTTGAGCAAGTTCTGCAGTCACATTGAAAGGAAGGTTACCTATTCCGAGAATAAAAACGCTTTATAGGCTTCTGGATTCAAAGCTGAAGAAAAGTAAGGGTCTAGGGGCTCTTCTCAAAGAGGATGGTAATGCAGTATGCAGAAATAGGAGCAAAGCTGAGCTCCTAGCTAGCGCCTTTCGCGGAATACTTCAAGAAAGGGGATGATTCTATGGGATTAGATAGCGGTCCATCATTCCCGGTGATGAGGGATTCACTTTGGTTCGATAAATAAGAAATATATAAGTTGCTGATTTGGCTCAAATCCCACCCGAATACACCTGGTCACATTCCACTGGTATTCATTGCAAGGTAGCACATAATCTGTGGGCCACTTGCACTGCTGTTCAAGTTGAGGCTTATGAGAGCTGCAGTGCTATCGAGGTGGCGCGTCTCATTCGTTACCTCAATCCCTAAAAACCCGCCGTATTTTGTCCGTACAACTTCACACCGGTCTGCATAAGTTCCATATTTGTCAGGTTGTTTGAAAAAGTTTTGAAGAACAGACTCACGACACATTTGGAGCCTTTCAGAAAGAAGACCAACACGGCTTTCAGAAAGGGAAATTAACTGTGACGGGCATGCTGCCGGCTCTTGATGACTGGGCAAGGTACCTTGATAATGGCTCCGGAGCGGACGTGATTTATTTGGGATTTGACAGAGTGTCTCACTCTGAGTTCATAACTAAACTCAAAATAGTTGGTGTTCATGCCGGAACTCTTGAATGTATAGAATCATTTCTAAGCGATAGAGTCTACACTCGAAATCCCCGAGATGCGGTAGGCGTGGTTGCGTCCTCAATTAAACCCAGCAGTGGCTGCACTTTTTGTGGAATATTTTCATTTTTATACAATTGTGATCACGTCTTTGTCCAACGAAGAACGAAATGATAGTTATCTCAAGCTGAATATGCCACGCCCACCCCGTCTCAGGGATAATGAGTGTATCTTGTGCGCAAATGCTGAATTCTCCAAACCTGTGTAGGCCGCTGCCCAGTGGCGTGCCGCAAAGAGCGTTTTGCCTACTATTCTTTCATATTTACGCTTGAACTACCGCGTCTTTTAACATCTGGAGGAGTGAAGTGTGTTGCCTTTGCATGACCTCAAACTATATCACCCGATCTCATCTGACTCGGACAAAGTGCTGTTACAAGAGGCCATCAATGAGGTTAGCATGTGGGCCAAACAAAGGATTTATCTCTATCTAGTGAAAAAATTAGGGTTTCGCATAGGAAAAGTTGATGGCTCTCCCTCCTAATCTAAAGGATAAGGTGAGAGAGCTCAGGGATCTAGGTCTCCTTATTCGCAGCGACATAAAATTGATGCACACTGTTCGCAAATTGCATCTGAAGTAACGGCTGCTTTGCATAAAATGTTCTCACTACTAACCAGGGATGCCTATGTACTATGCAAAGCATACAAGACCACCATCAGGCCACTGTTGGAGTACAGGACCGTATTTTATAATCAAAATAAAAGAAAAAGTATCAACGCTCTAGAAGGGGTACAAAATTAACTTTACCAGAAAAGCCTTCCTGAAAGCAGTGGGGTTCAAGTCTGAGCAAATACCCACCAGTGTGGTGCGGAATCATAATCTCAATACTGAGACTCTAGATCTCAGGAAGAAAAATTCTGACTCTTTCTCTACAAAATTCTCCACTTACGCACTGGTGCTACAAAACATTCTTTTTGTTGTCAGAGATCAATTACCAGAGGTAGTTCTAGAAAGCTGATTACTCGTCGAACTAAGAGTAATATCAGGCATCACTTCTTTGCAAATAGGACCGTCCCAGAGTTTAACAGACTGGTACGCTTGGGAGTGACCACAAGCAAACTGAGCGCTTTTAAGGCTGCTTTGGACAAACATCTTACATCATAATACTTTTGCAAGCATCGTTCATCTTGAGAGTATTCACTATGCTCTTTCGCTTTTAATCAATGATTTTTATAGTGGTTTTGGTCACACGGCATTGAGTACTAGTAGTGCTGTTTTGTTTAGTTCTTGCGTTGTTTTATTTATTAGCACCTCACAGGGTCATCCGTGTAATAAACAACTACAAGAACCTCAGGGACACAAAAAACGCCGCTCAGGACTAGGATGGCGATCGGTGCTTTCTGCTCGTAAGCTTATGGAGCTCGCATCGAATCAGGATGCAATCCAGGAGAACCAAGAACTGCGTCGTTGACTGACCAGAGAACAGCAGTCATAAAGATGGCCTGCTGTTACTAGAGTAAGAGTAAGTGTGTTGGTGCTCGCTTGTTCAGGCGATCATAAATTCATCGGGCAAAAAAGTGTGAATGCATTTGAAGGTACTGGAAGCTAACCAGAAAATGTTTCCAACTTCCTAGGGACCTTCGAATGGGGATCTGAGCATATTAATTAAGATTGAAGTGCTATCGTACTAGTAGCCATACCAGTGCTAGTATGGAAACAAGAATTTCACATGTATCTCGCAAGCGTTTTAGCGACTCATTTCATGTAGACACATTCTGGAATTCTGATTCGCTGGAACGTTCTCTCGGTGCTAGTTTCACTTTCTGGATACAAATATCCATTCCGAGAGAGAAAGTTCAATAACCACGCTGCAGAGACCCACAGAGCAGCTCAGCAGATTTTTCAGCTTTAACAGCTTACAATGAATGGATGGTTGGTCGAAGTGGCCATTTAAACAAGATGTATACTCACTGATGCGTCTTCGGACGCTGATTTCAAATCTGCTTTCCATATCTGCTAAACGATTCTCTGAGCAGAGATATGCAGGAGGTTGTTGTACGGAGCACAATAGAGCTTGGTATACAAATCAGACGTGAGTCGCCACACGTGTGCCTCGGTAGCCTAGTGGGTAGTATGCCGGACTCAAGTTTACGAAGTGAGAGGTTCGAATCCTTGATGGACGTGCTCTTTTGCATTGTTTCAGCAGTGCTGTCTTCAGCAGTGCTCTCTGGAAGTTTCTAACACAGCCTAGCATGATCAGGGAACCTTGTCATGCCATGAATAGGGCTTTTCTTGGAAAACTGAACCATTCTCGCCTGTGAACACTTCTAATGATTTATTTTGCTCATATAGTGGGTACAAACAAGTTCTGATTGACCAAAGTTCTGATGAAGACACGTTCAACACGAATAAACCCGTAGTTACTGGTCAGTTATGGATATCTCGGGAAAAGCTTGATAATGCAATCGTGTGAGGCAGCGTTCAGACTTCGCGATGGCGGCGATTGGATTGCACGTTTGACGCCATCGATGCACTAGAGCTCTATTGTGCTCCGTACAACAACCTCCTGCATATCTCTGCTCAGAGAATCGTTTAGCAGATATGGAAAGCAGATTTGAAATCAGCGTCCGAAGACGCATCAGTGAGTATACATCTTGTTTTAAATGGCCTTCAATTTTCATATTTGTAACCATCAAAAAAATTTTTTAGTGTGCCTAATTTTTAGTGTGCCTAGGTCTCCATTCAGAGTCCTGTGAGGAGTTGGGACCACTTCTTGGTTAGGTCAATGATCACACCTCAGAAGGACTTTGCCACTGAATCCTTAGATATGTATGTAGCGCAGTAGTGACCTACCACGTGTACTGTTCTAAAGAGTACTTCTGCATTTTTTCGACTTGCGGCTTCATTTTTATGTCGTCCACACTGTATTAAATTCAATAATAATGTTAATTGAAGAGCTTCACTTACAGTCATATGTACATAGTAACTAAGTTCCGCGATTGTATTACACGTATCATCTTTTTGCCTTCAATCATCGGCCAAGGACGTTGTTTAACGGATTGTAAAGGGACCATTCACTTCCTGGGATGCTTGGTTGTCGGTAGTAGTAGTTCCTGTTGTACCCGTAGTTATATGGTCTGCCATACTGATAGTTGTAGTAGTACTGTCGTTTCGTGCGAAGCACTCTGAAACACTCCTATTACTTTCATAGTTCCTAAGCAAACTATTAAGTGTTGAGAAGACTTGATGTTCGCAGTAAAAACTATAATATTAAAAAAATCGCTGTTGATCAGATGATTTTTAAGATGCGGCTCGCAGTCTAATAGGTAGACTAAAAAGTCCTGATAGTCTTTCAATTTTTTCGTTTTTATTTTTCCATCTAGTCTACCATGGAAATCAATCAATATGTAACCACTACTGCTGGTTATCACACATTTAGTGGACAGGTGAGTCCCCTTTTCGTGGAACTGGGGAGACTGCGAGTCAAGAAACTCGGGACCACCCAAACTATGTCTACGAACGTTGCCAAATATTCCTTGGCCAAGAACGCCTCTCAGGGCAGGAGCAAGTGAAAATTATAGGGAGCCACACCCCTATCCCTGAGACGGAGTACGCTGGCAATTGGACATAGCATAGGATGAGTTACTCGTGGAATTTTCCAACTTGAGACAACTGTCATCTTGTTTTGTGTTATCAAAGACAGTCTCGAAATGAAAATATTCCGCCGAAAAGCTCAGTTACCGCCACGTTTAGTTGAATTACGCAGCCCCGCAGATTTCGAGTACAGTCAAGAAGGAAATCCATAAAATCCGTGCTTTCAGCCTCGCTCCTCGTGCTTAGGTTGTCCTTCAGCATTATCACTGACGATGGGCAGAGAAAGTCGTAGCGGTGTTTTTCCCAAGCACCCTCCGCGATTTTCTCGAGTAAAGGGGCGTAACTTATCGGTGATTGTGTTCCTTGGAGAAACAGCTAGTACAACGATCTTCCCGAGTCCCACAAGCAGCACAAGCCAACTTATTATTGGTAAGAATGCTTTGGTTACAGTAAGGACTTCATTATAGCTGGTATAGTTAAGAGTATTTATAGAAATAAACTTGATATGTTACAAATACTCTATTACAAATGATTACGGTAGCATAAGCAGATTAGTCCGAGGTATTCTCAGTGGCTTTTTCGTTTAAATTGGTGTCTATGTAACACATTTTTTTACCTGCATGTGTCGTGTAGTATTTTCGGATATTATAATGTAACATCAACTGATAGTTTTTCGTAATTACGACGTCTTACTCACGTGATCCAATTAATTTTCAAACTTTTCAATCTTTATCGTTTTCAAATTTATTTCTTCATAAACTTTCTGCAATTTTTTCTTCCTTTCCTTACTGAAGAGCACGGAAGGAGGAATATGCTTTTGCTCGGCTTCCGTCTAAGGGCACGTGCGAAACGGAAGCTGAGCTATCTCTTTGCTTTCGACCCCCCTCAATAATTCTCATTTATTAGATTTTACAACATAGTCCATTAATTATATTTTAATGATTTTGTTTGTGTACGCTATTATCATGTAGAGCTCGGCAATCCGACGCTAGTGTGTGGTAGCACCTGTAGGAGGGTCATTAGTTTATTCCACTATGTACTACTATTTTTCTTCTGTCTTTCGGGCAGAACCAAACTACGCCCTTATTTGCACAGCTGATTCTCCGATAAGAATTCTACGATCATACGAGTGACAGTTTGCATGTTTTTTCTTCCTGCCGCTTCGTTTTTCACTGAAACGAAGCGGCAGGCCTTAAAGACACATAGTACGCTCAACATTGAGGGTGTATGAGACTATCAGCCCCCAGCTGTCGATGTGTCGTGGTCCCCCGCCCAAACATGCCCAGGAATGGAGATACAGGACCGTGAAACACGCTAATTCCTCCATGCTCCGCCTTACACCTTTTTGCGGCGCAGATTCCCGTCCTTCATAACATCCGCGCGCGTGTCGCGTGCGGCTCCTTGGCACTTTGCCAAGTCCTTTAATTGCGCTTTCAAATACAAG